TAGTTGAATTATTAGCGGAGAGAAATGAATTATTAGTAGAGAGAAATAACCGTCTTTCCGGGGAAAAAAATGATAGTCTTGCAATGAATTTACACCACACATAATTGTCAAATCCGATTTCAGAAGAGAGATAGTTATTGTCTTGAAGTGCAAGATGCTTAGGTGGAGGGTATATAATGCCAATTTTGTGGCTTTTGCGTTGCAATGTATTGGGTGTCGTCACCTTGAGATGAACTTTGAAAATGATGTATATAATAATTGTTAGGAATAATCACCAAACAATATTTAATTATGAGGTGGGCTTCTCACATCACCAATCACCAAATGGTGGAACCCTAAATGTTTACTCAACATTGACCATTAAACAAAGATACATTACATTTCAAGTATGTAACATGAATCAAAAGTAACATCAATCAAACATATTTTTAAAATGACATTATAATTTAAACGTAACATATTTCAAATATGAATTTTATGTGGCATCCTAACATAATCATAGTACATATCACATGTTAGTAGTAACATGTTTCAAACTCAAATTAATTATTTGTAACCTCACAATTAAGTTGTAATATGTATTACTTGTTAATTTTATATGGTATATCAAGTTGAACAGAATAATCATTAAATGAAAAATCAAACATGTCAGAAAAATGTACTTGATTTCCCCTTGACTTCGGTTTATTTTACGAATCTCATATATAGATATATATATATATATATATATATATATATATATATATATATATATATATATATATATATAAAATAATGAAATAATTTGTGATTTATATTAAGACTGTGTTCCTACATTATATGAAATTTAATTGTGATGGTAATTATAAAATTGTTATGATGAAACACATGTTTAGTTGTACTTGAATAAAATAAGTAGTAATATATGTTAAAAATATATTTTTACACTATATGAAATTTAATTTTGTTTGGTTTTCACTTTAATGAAATAAGTTATCATATTTGTTCCTTAAATCAAATTCATTACTATTAGAAACGTAATATATATGACTATATGTATCAATATATTTATAGATACAAGAGAAAAAAAAAAAAAGAAAAAAAAAGAAAAAGAAAGACTACTAATTATGTTAACAAAAATCAACAATGGTAACGAATATTAATCAATATCTGAAATTATTTATTTGTCAGTTGCAAAAAAGAGAAATTGTTTAGGGAAAACTACGTATAGGTAGACTTAATAGCCTTAAATAACAAAATAGTATACTTTTAAAGTTCCTTTTTCAATTTGATTAAATTAAGCAAATTAATTACAAATACATCAACAATTATTTTTAAGGTCCAAAATACCCCTCAAACTCTAATTCTAAAATACTAAAATATCCTTATAATTATATAAGAATAATAATACTTGGTCCAATATTTTAGAGCCTAATTTGATCTGGTTCTTACGCGGCATGGACACATCATCGCTCTTACCATTTTTTTTTTCTTTCCAAAAGGACGTTTCTCTCTCTCTTCAATTAGATTGGGTTCCATTCCCTCTATCTTCTCTTCTTCATTCCGTGCCCCTCTCTATCTTCATCGTCTCTCTCTCTGTGGCTTAAGTTTCATTTTTTTATCTACAATGATTTGCTTACCAAAAATAAATAAAGGATAAAGTGAAAATTTTGGTTCTTGGGTCAATTGATCTATATCCAGTATGTTACATATATAACCCAGGAAAAAAAAAAATTCAGAAAATTTTGAAATCAGAAAAGATCTAATTGAAGAGAGAGAAAGTCTCATTGAAGAGTGAAAATCTATTTCAAAATTAAGAACAAGAGTCATAACTTAAACCATAAACATCTAGGGTTGATCCCAAATTTTACTATTGAAGAGAAAATAAAAAAGAATGAAAAAATCAGACCATATCTAATTGAAGATATGGTGTATGTATAAACATTTAAATAGTACATATAAAGAGGGAGAAAATGCCGTGTAAAAAAAATTTGGTTTTGTAAGATATTCCCTAATCTTTTGTCATGCTTGTTGCAATGGATTTGATTTTCTTCACAAATTTTCTCACTCACGCTCCTTCCAAACTTAGGATCCACCGTCAAGATTCAATAGTTTCTTATTGACATCTGGTATTTTGAAATTATATAACTCTAAAAATATTTTGGTATTTTAGAATAAGAGTTTGGAGGGTGTTTTGGACCTTAATAATTATTATTGATGTATTTGTAATTATTTTATTTAATTCAATCAAATTGAAAAATGAACTTTAAAAGTAGACTATTTTGTTATTTAAGAGTACTAAGTGTACTTATATGTAGTTTTCCCAATTGTTTATCTATTTACATAAATATATATCTCTATATATATACTTTTATCTCACTAGATTTTCTCCTTAATTATATATAATATCTATTTCATAAATTTTTTTATTAAAAAAAAAAAAGACGAATGGAGTTGCAAAATTGAAAACAGATGATGTAAGATCGGAGTTTCCGGCACAACGATGTTTCCGACGAGATCAAGTGAATCCAGGAGAGGAGGAAGGTATGTTAAGATTAGGAAGGTTGGTCTTGGCCTTGGCGCCGCGAAACTCATGCGCCACCGCATCGTAAGAGAGCACTCATTTGAATCCATGATCAACTCTATCTCTACATCCACCATGGTTGGACCTCTGTGTGAGAGGTTTGAGATCTCATTTTCGGTCTTTGGTTTTGAAAAGAGAAGTTTAGAAGAGCAACAGAGGAAGAGAGATGGGAGACAGATGTATTGTATAATTTTTTTGTATTATAGATTGTATGGTATAAGTATATCTGTGTATGATATTTGTGCTTATGGTAAAAATTAATGTAGTTGGGTAAACATTTTTATTTCTGTGCTAAGTTGGCGATAAGTAGGTGATGATGTGGCACAATTTGAACAAGTGGCTAGATCACAGCCATTGAATCCTCAATGGACCCTCTCCGGTGAGAGGTGCCATGGAGAGGATTTTTCCCCATCAAATTAAATGTCCAAAAAAGCTCTATTTATGTCTCAAATTAAATGTCCACTTTTTTTTTTTTCTTTTGATTGTCGATAAATGTACAATATAATTTAAAAAGTTATACTGTCAAAGTACTACTAATTTAATTTTCTTACATTGAACCTATAAAAAAAATAAATTATAGACTCACTATGGACATATTTGATAATTCATTTACAACTAATACAATAAAAAATATTAAAACACATAATCTTAAAAAGGAACTTGGATCCCCTCTGTTAGAGGAAGTCATAACTCACCCTTAAAAATAATAATAAAAAAATAAAAAAATAAAAAAAAATAAAAAAAAGGGAAGACACAACTTATCATTTTTATATTTATTTTCTTTCTCATATCTCTCCTTCCATATCTCTCACTCTATTTTCTCCACCTCTTGCACCCCCACCCTCTCTAACCATGGTCATCTTCACCTCTTACAACTCCGCGCTCTAATGATGGCATCACCCTGGCTTCCCTCTCAACCTCCTACCACCACCACCACCCTCTCCACCAAGTACCATATTTATGGACGCATATAAATATACCTTGGTAATGCTATGCACCTAATATATAAATCTAATTTAAATAAAGAACTGATATATCCATGTGAATCAAAACATATATATATATAATCACACATTGTTATTCTTTGTTGAAAATTCTTTAATTTTTTTCAATTAATTTTCATCACCTTAATTTATTTTGAAGACTGATTAATATTTCAAAAACAAAATAAGCTATTTAAAAGAATTGACAAATACCAGCTTAATTAGTTTTAGTTTTAATTGGATGGTATTCTTGAGATGTCAGCGCCTACGTATCATAGAATATATATGCTACAGTTCTTTTGAGCTAATCGATTAAGAAATCCAGATAGGAAAAGTAGATGTCAAGTTACAGCAATCTTTTCTTTTTCTTAAAAAAATAAAAAATAAAAAAAAATAGAAAAAAACCATATTAAAGTTGTTGATGGATTACATAGTAGCTAGTCTCTCAAGGATTCTCTTATTTTAAACTTCTTCTTTTTTTTTTTCCTTTTTCTGTCTCAGAGTTTAATTAGTAATCTTCTCTGAACAATTAATTGCATTTTTATGTTCTTAAGGTTTCTTACAATTTTACATATTCATCAAACAAATAAAGATGGATCATATTATTTACCAATGGTACTGTTTTACAGGTACTTCGAAAGAAACAGAATTCTTCATTTTGATTGGGAATAGAAAAACGAAAACAAAAAAGAAATAAATCAAATTGTGTAGAAGATTCAAACTGTTCCATTTTTCTTAATTATTTTGAAGATTTAAGATCTGCATCTGCCTAGGGGGAAAAAAAAAATAAAAAATAAAAAAATCTGTTCCCAAAACCTCTTTTTACAGAAGGTTTTTCCACTCAATCTCCACTCCCAGCTAGCATTAGTTTAGCATTTTAGGTTTCTTCGATCTCATAAACCATATCTAACTGACCCCTTAACAAAAGTAAAGTTTCTGTGGGGACCATATATGACTTCAGAAAATCAATTAGGGATGCAAAAGAAATGGATAATCTCATAGTTTAAACATGTGTGTGTGTATGTGTGTGTGTGACAGAGAGAGAGAGAGAGAAGGGGGGCATGGGTGTTTTTGCTTCTCTTTACCTTCAAATGGAAGCACTGCAATGTGACCATTGGATGAAAAGCACAAAAGCATGTTTGATAGCTCCTTCACCTATATCCCTCCTTTCCTATACCAGAATACATTAAAATATATATAAATAAATAAAAATATCCCAAAAGGAGAGAGCAGTGGACCGTTCTCTGACTTCCACTAACATATTCCCAACATACAAAAAAATTCAAAAGTGAGATATCCAATCAAATGATCTCCCCACACTCACTCTCTCCTGTTCTGGAATTTAATTATTCCTTCAGTTCCTTTCATCTTCTTTTCTTTTAAATTAAAGATTGTGCCAGCTCTATGCAGCAGCAGCAGCAGCATATTTATATATAGTGAGAGAGAGATACAAATACAACAACAAAAGCTCCTTTATCAGCTAATTAAATTCAGCTACAAACAACAAATGTTATCTAATCTAATCTATACTCTCTCTAAATTTTAGCACCTGTTTTTCATTCCTAACCAACCCTATAATCATAATTCTTCAATTATTACCACACTATGTTCGAATTCGATGGTCCCTAATATTGGCTAAAGCTGCATCATTTTGCCTGCAGCTGGCCCAACAATTGCCCTGTGCTTTAAAGGGTCATCTTCCTTTCCTTTCTCTTTCAGCATTTCCCTTTTCTTTTTCAATCTGGACAATCGAGTACAGTTATACGGATCCGCTGTTTTTTTCCCAATCTTATCGTCCCCAACTTGGCTAGGGTTTTGATAAGATACTTGTTGGAATGCAGCTACTACAGAATTAGTTCCATACGATCGCGATTATGGTTGGCTTATCATTAGCTTCCTTCATCTGAAAGTTCCTCCAAATGTAGGGGTCCAAAAGTCGACTGTGGTCTCATGAGTGACCGGATATGTGCTTGAAACTGGTACCAAACATAACCCTCTACTTTTAAGATCTTGCTTTGGTCCTTCAGGGTCCTTAGATTTGTCAGAATTCTGCATCATCAGCAAGTCTTTCATTATTTTTAAGAAAACAAGGAAGATTAAAAAATAATAATTTTAAAATGAGGAGGGAATATAAAAGAAACACTTAAAAACCTAAGAAGCAGTTTACTAATTATGAAGTTAATAATTTTATAAGTGAGAGGAAACAAAGAGAATTTTGTACCTGCTGTTGTTGTATGGGAGTTCCACTTTTCAAGTATGGGGTACTTAAAACCTGATATTATATGTGAAGAGCAATAGTACATATTAGAAATGGTAATACCAATATATATTAGTTTTCGTATTAATTCCATTTAATTTAAGGTCATTATATATATATATATATATGGAACTTACACTGACTTGTTCATGGAGGAACTTGATGTATTCAATTGCTTCAGAGAGTACCGAAGCTGTATCAGTCTGAAAGAATAACATGCGTGATTACAATCAATAATCAAAGTAAGCTTTCATGAATTTAGAAATAAAATGATGGATGTACTCGTCTCTCACTACATATATGCTTTCATAAATCCGAATTCTCACCTTTCCAAAAGGCGAAACTAATTGCTGGAGTGCAGTAATTCTGTCCCCCATCTTCTCTTTCCTCACCTAAAGAGCAAAGCTACAAGTTCTTATCTATGGCTATATATGAATAAAGGAAAAAGAGTAAAACAGAAAGTTAAAAAAAAAAAAAAAAAAGAAGTTAACTGCTCGATCTTAGATTGAAAGTTTTCTGAACTCGTGTACCTTAAAAGCTGGCAAAGTTGATGGTGTTTCACTTCGCGGCCTTTTGGATGATGGTTCATTGCTACTTTTCTTCGCCGCCATTCCTGAGTCCCTCACTTCTGATGTATTCTGTCATTGATTAATAATGAATATATAAGTTTTATACAATAACAAAAATTAATTGAAACCCTAGTAAGTACATATATATGTGTGTAAGGTGGTGGTTTCATATCATCGTAATAATATGTATCTTTACCTTCATTTTTTCATCAAAGCTTTGCATAGGAAATTGGGGCTGTAAGGGATGGAACAAGCTTGATCTAACATCATTGGTGGCAGCTGCAGATGCATTCCAATACGTGGCGTTATTGGAGAATTGAAGCTGACTATGTGGGGTGTGTTTTGAAGGTGAGTTTCTCATGAACTGAGGGAACTTAGACCAAGAATTAGGCAAGAGTTCGCCAGAGTTCATGGCGTAGTTTGGAGGATAAGGAAAATTCATGGACCGGTTTTGGTTTTCGAAAGCAGACAGTTCCGCTGGTTGATTATCGGAACCTAAAAAGCCTTGTAACATGGTTGAAGGGCTTCCATACACAGCTGAATCTATCTGAAAACTAGAGGGTAAGGCTTGGCATGTCACGCTACTTTCGCTAGAGCTGATATGAGAACTGAACTGCTGTGGTTGTTCTAAAGAAAAGCCCCCCCTTTGCTTAAATTCGCTCACCGAAGAATCTTCATGGCTCCCAGAATACATTTTCTGTCTCCAATGTTCTTGAGATGATCCAATCCCACTTTCTTGCTGATAATTCCTACTCGAATTCAAGTCCTCTTGAAGAACCGAACTGAAACTGCTCTCGGTTTTCCCAGTACGACTGTCCAAATTACCATAAAAACCAAGCAACATATATACTTATCAAATCCTATATATATATATATATATATACCAACAAAAATTTTGATACTTCAATATATATACTTGCTTAACCTTTCCAGGAAAAAAAAAAAAAAAAAAATAGTTAAAATTTCCATGATAAAAGAGGAAAAGGAGAGAGAAAAATTGAAGTGTGCTTACAGTAAAGCTTGGTTCCAATCCATTGCTTGAGAAGGAAGGCTTAAACCGATCATTTGTAAGCTTGAATCGGGGCCTTGCAGCTTCTGGGGATCTTGGAAAACGTTTGAAGTGCCAGATACCGAGCCTGAATCTATGGAGGATCTTGGTTTGGTGTCCACTATTTCTGATGGCCATCCAAAGCTTCCTGTGCTATTGAGTGCCGTTGATGATGGCGAAGATCCCGTGTCAAACCTGTTTCTTGATGATGAATCCCACCAGTTTCCACCCCCAATCTGAAATTGATCCGCCATGGCAAATAAAACTAGACTACTGGACTTCAGCTTTATATATATAAGCTATATATATCTATCTTCCTCTGCTTCTGCCTTTAGATTCTTACTCCTTGACTCTCTCTTTTCTTGGGATCCCTGCGCTTGGCTTTGCTTTGTTTTCATAAAATGATGAAATCGGTTTGCTGCATCTCACACTATTTATATTGAGCAACAACCATTTTGATCAGTGTACAAACCAGAGAAATGACCAGAATTTTAGTTGACTTTTACAGCGTGATTAGACTAGGGAAGGGTCATTTTAAAATATAATATATATATCAAATGCCTAGCTTTATGCTTTTTTATTTCCTTTCCTTTATGATGTTCCTTTGTTTTTCTTTAATTTAATGGGAACCTCTACAGTATCAATGACTTCCCAATCAGACCTTTGCCCAAGTAATTAATCTTTCCTCCACAATGTCAAGTCAATTCACCAAGATGTGCTAGGTTAAAGTTATTCTTCAAGTACGCTAGGATTGTCAGCATGGAATCTTTTTTTTTTATTTATTATATATATATATATAATTAATCTATAATAAAGAAGAAACATGAAAAGTACAGAAATAATATTATTTTAAAATTATGCAAGTTTGAGTTCATATATTATTTTAAATTCTAAATTTATTTTCTTCCAATTTGAATTTTAATGCAGGTATAATATTCCATGCTGCCTAAATGAAGCAGAAGCAAAAAAAAAATGAAAATTATAACCAGAAATGCTCAATTATATATAATTATTCTCCAAAGCCATTAATATATATATACTAGTAGTACAGTGATTTGATGTAAGGTGCACATGCCAAGTCTAATTCCTCACTGTGTGAGTGTGTGTTTTTGATCCAGTAGACCAATAATACTTACTTTCTTTATGCAACTTGATTAATTTCACAATAGTCATCATCAAATTACATAGTGGGATCCTCTGACGGAGGTTGAAAATGAACCAAGTGTAAGAAAACATAACCAGAAGTGTCAAATTTGGTCTTTGATTATGTAAAATTGTTCCTAGTAGCAATCCTCCCTTGGAAGGACCACAATTCCATTATTGAGCATTTGATCATGTTTATGTTTATCTGGTAATTAATACCTCGGTTTCTAAGCAGGTGAATCCTACCAACTTCTCAATTCTCATACCAGTCATTTCTATAATATTTACTAAGTTTTGTCAAATCAAGAATAATTACAAGTGATATATATAATGTTGTTAATCAGCATTAAACTTTATGATCTCATAGACCTAAGCAATGATTAGTATTCATGAAAATAAGCATACACCATTCTCATGACAATATAGACTATATAGCATCTAAAAATTACATCAAACATTGTCAAAAGATAGCAACAGCTACATTTATTGGTGAAGATATTCTTAATGGGTTGAAGACCATATAAACGACAAGCATGTGCTCAGCTTAATTAATTACTTTGGATAAAATTTGTTTCAAAAGCTAGTTAATAGAATGACTCAGCCATTAACCCAACTGGTATAATCTCTTCTTTTTTAAAAGAAGAGGTGACGGATACGAGTGTTATAACCGCGTGCTAATGGGTGAGTATTTACCTAATCCAAAACTAAAACAATTTTCAGATTTAGCCAAACTCATTCCCTAACAAATCCTTAACCATATAATAATAGAAAACAGATTTATCCATTTTAAAACTGCTCTTGCCACATAAGTGAACAATTTTAGTATGTCAAGTTATATGTTACTAAACCAAATATTTTTCAGTAAATATGACGTTGGTAAATAACGAATGTCCTAATTCAATTAAACAGAAAAGAAAAGGTGGTATGTAATACATATATATATATATATATATATTATTGTCTATTTAAGTAGAAAAAACTACTGTATTTTATTAAAAAGTATGCAATCATTAATTTAATTATTCAAATGAATATTGTCAATTAGCTTATCTTCCCACCTAAAAATAATTAATAGTAGTTTTCTGTTATCTTTTTGAAGATGTGAATTTGAGTGGGGGAGGAGGCGGCAGGTGGTGGTAGGATTGACCTTTTGACATCGGAAAAACAACAAGAGTCAACGTGTGGGACCCACGCGGCATGCGCGCGTGGGGGTGTAAATGGGTCCCACGTTTCTATGAGTCAGAGCCCCGAAAGCGACTCTTTTTTCTTACATTCCTCTTCTAATCATTCATTTCAATCTGGCGTCTGCTTCACGTTCTCATCTAAATTCCTTCTCTCTCTCTCCATTCTTAACCAACTTCACACACACACACACACACACAGTTCTAACAGTACTACGCTGTCAACAAACTGTCCAATTTCATAAACCAATAAGAAGAGACGGATATATTTCTTGAAAAATAGAAGGAAAAAAAAAAAAAAAAAAAAATTTGATGGCGAGAGTGGCTGGAATTTGATATGCGTTGCTAGATTTAATTTCATTACCTTTGTTTTTGTCTACCCTCATATTGAATTCGAGTTTCCATCTATGTATGTATTTGTTTCTCTTTTTGATTTACTAGTTTACACTTTGTTATGATATCAGGTTGATATGTTTGTGTCAACATGTGTAAGATGGAGTTCTGACAATGTAGTTTTACCTGCCAATATTAGCATATTGCATAATTATTTTCTTTTCTTTTTTATAATTAAAATAAAGAGTGTTCATTGGTTGGAGATATTACAAAGTAATCAATAATTTTTTTCCTTTTTTCCTTAGTTGGTATTCACACACACTTATCTCTTCTGAGACTGAATCCCTTATATTCCCTTAAGAGGTAAAAAACTGAAACTGCTAGATCTGACCCATTAATATTTTTTTTCCTTTTTTTCGAAAAGTTAAAAATAAAAAAATAAGAAGTGTTGTTTCTTGATGTCTAAAGAGTTTTGGGTTGTTGGTGGTGTTTAATACTGGTTACTTGTGAAATGGAGGCAGTTATTTTTAAACGTAAAAATGCATTGTTTGGACATGAAGAGGAAGAAGTGACAAAATTTTAGTAGAATTAGTACTCACCCAATTGATTGGGGTGAGATTATGATTCCTCAAATGATTGGAAGTCATTGGTCCAATAACCAGAAACTATTATGGCCGACTCCACCAACTGCATGCCCTCAGTGGCATAACTCCCAAGTCTTTACAAATAATTTTATGTTTTTTTTTTTTATTTTTTTTATTTTTGGGTAAATAAAATTTTATTAAAAGACGAAGCCTAAAAAGGCCAGCACAACACATCAAAAAGAAAAACAAAGGACACCCAACATCAAAAAAAACTCCATCCGTAATTTTATTTTTTCAGAAAATAAAATAAAATCTTCTATGAAAAGAGAGAAGATTTTATTTTTTGTGAAAACCATTAATTATTTTTCACTTTTGAAATTTATTGAAAACCATTACCGAACAATTAAGTGAACGCCAACAAGTATTCTCTTTCAATTTATTCAGCAAAAATATCTACTGCTAAGGCTATTTGAATGTTAAAATAAAAGGCAGACTTCATATTTCTTGTCAAGTTGAAAAGAAGAAAAGTAAAATATGAATTTGCTTAATATTAAAGTAATAGATAGAATGAATATATAGTTACTAAATCTTTATTCATTCTTCTAATAATTCTCCTCTTTTAACATAGGAGGAGTAAGTTTTCCTTCCTATCCTTATATTTTCCTTGCAATTCTTCCATTCCAAACACCACATACGGTGGTTAAGATGAGAATATCCAATGAAATGAATTAACAGCATTACACATGTAGCTGCCCTAGTCAATTTATTTGGCCACTAAATTGGAGCCACCTTTTACATTTTTCGATTGATCAATCATCATGAAATGATGTCATATTGAGGTAAGGTTGAGGTGTGCCATAAGCTGACAAAACCAGACAAGGCTTACTTGGAATTCAACACAAAGTGATGATGATAAACCATTCAAGACAGAATGGAGAGAGAAAGAGAGAGAGAGAGAGAGAGTATGAAGTAGGAGCTGACTAAATGGTACAAAGAGTCAATGTCGACTAAGGCAAGGGCTTTAATTAGGTCCACATGTTTGTGTCAATACAACGTGTTTTTATGGCCATCATCTTTCTTTCTTTCTTATGGTCAACCTGGAAATAGAGTAATACACGCACCGTGTAAACGCCGCCCAGCAATCAAGGACGGTGGCGGAGGGTGGCAAGGACAGACAAACATCATACATCCATCCCCACGGACCACCCCTAAAAGTCCTCAACGTGTGTTGCATTTTGATGGACTTGGTAGTTGAATCTAAAATGTCATCCACACAGACCTTGAGTTTTGATTCAAAACATGTAAACTTTGATCTTCATCTCTCATTTGATTGAGATATTATTAAGGTATATTCTCTCCATTTCAAAATAAGTGTCCACTTTTTTTTTTTTCAAACAATTTATTTCACATCTTTTCATATATATTCTTTAAATTTAAAATTTCAAACTTGAATATTCAAAACTTAAAAAGGTAAGTTAGTAATTTTTTATATAGACAATACGTGATTCACATGTCTTCTTAAAAATTACTATTCTCCACAAGTGACACTTAAATTGGGATGAAAGGAATAATTGTTACAAGCTCTTCTTTTCAAATAGAAATTTTAGTATTCGAACCTCAGTGAAATTATGTGTGTGATTGTTTAAACTTTTAATATATTAGTGGTTAGTGCTAAATAAATCTTTCTTAATTTTTAAAATATAATATAAAATATATACTTCTTCCATCCTAGAAGTCCTCAACACGTGTTGTATTTTGGTGGACTTGGTTGTTGAATCTAAAATATCTACACAGGCATTGAGTTTTGAATCAAAACATGTAAACTTTGATCTTCATCTCTCATTTGATCGAGATATTATTAAGATGTTACAAGCCCTATTTTCCAAATGAAAGTTTTAGTTTTGGATCCTCAATAAAAGCATGTGTGTGGGGTTGTTTAGCCTTCTTTCCAATATATATATATATATATATATATATGTCTTAGTGTCTAATGCTAAATAAATCTTCATTAATTTTAAAAATATAATATAAAATATGTACTTTTTCCATTATAAAATTTTTGTCCACCATTTTATTTTGGGATATCCTAAAATGTTCATTTCAAAAATGGATATACTATTTTAGTAAAATTAAACTTAGGTAGAATTAGGAGTCCTAAATAACAAACAAATCTATTTTAAAAGTTAATTTTTTAAATTTGGTTGAGTTAAATAAAATAATTAAACTTTTTGTTTAGGTCTAAAATACCCTCCAAACTCTTATTTCAAAATGCCAAAATATTCTTCCGA